CCCCAAAACCCCAAAACCCCAAAACCCCAGCAGTCAGAAAGAAAATTGAAGCTGGACTTTTAATATTTATTCATTATCTTTTGTCTCCAATGATGGAAAGAATATAGATGAATAGAGAGATCAGGTCAGTGTAGATTAATAAGGCTCCAATAATGTAGTCATCATATGAAAGACCGTGCTTTTCAGTGATTAGGTAAACATCGTAGATAACATAGATACAGGTACAGATAAGGCCAACCCAACAGAAAATTAGGTGCATTATGTGGCTTGGGAAAAGGAAGTATAAGATAAATGTCAAGAGTCCTAATCCCATTGATACCCAAATAAGTGGCCCCATGCACCCAATGTCTCCTTTAGTAGAGCATGCATAAATTGTAAGAATTGTAAACAATCCTACTGCATAACATGCAGCCAAGAAAACAGACTGAGGCTCATACATAGAAGCGATAGTTGCCACAACATATGACTCTAAAAGAGTAAATATCCCCAGCAAAATATAATTTACTGGAAAATTTCTTGCAGCTTTCTGAATACACATCAAAGCACACATTATAGCAACAGTACCAGCAACACATACGAAGTATAGCCACATATTGTCAATGCAAAACTGCATCCTACCATAATCACTGATGACCCAGTAAGTAAAAAGTGCTGTAAATAGTACTTGGACACCCATTATTCCAAAAACCTTTTGTACAAATCCTTGGCGGCCAGAGTCTCCTTTCATCTTACTAAAGCAGTCTAGGGCTCCTTCTGAGTCACCTTCATCAGAATGAAACCCAGATTCTTCTCTTTTAGACTTATTCTTAGAGCCATGCTTGTGCATGACATCTTGAGGAGCCACTAATGGGTATGCTCCCTGGTTTTGAGGATAACCACCTGCGTTGTTCTGGGGATGAACTCCATAGTTCTGCTGAGGATGCCCTCCATAGTTCTGCTGAGGATACCCTCCATAAGAATCCTGGGGATATCCACCTCCATAATTGTTTACTGGATATCCAGATGGTACATTTTGCGAATGTCCATCATTCGGATTCTGGGCTGTTGGAACTTGTGGGTAACTTGGCTGAACTATAACACAACAGTTAATATATTCTTAAATTTTATCCTTTAAAAACTGTTTGGTAAAATCCCAATTAAGATTAACTATAAATTACCTTGATCGTCCTCCTGGCGATAATACGGGTTATAAGTTTGATTATCCAGATTCTGATTCTTCTTCATATTTAATTTATTATAAAGATTCTATTATTTTTCTAGAAAAAGGGGTTTTGGGGTTTTGGGGTTTTGGGGTTTTGGGG